AAAAAAAAAAAAAAAATGAACTTTTATTTGAAGTGACTTATTGCTCAAAAGAATAGTGCTTTCACAGTGTGGCTATTCAAAATATGTAAGCTCTATAAGCTGCATATTTATTGCAAAATAAAAAATAAAATAAAAACTTTTCATTGAAGTGACTTGTATAGCTCAAAAGAATAATGCTTTCACAATGTGGCTATTCAAAATATGTTTTTGGCTGATTAAAATTTTAAATTTTGGATTGAAGGGAAAAATTGGCCTATTGAATTTGTTATGCTAACAAGTACATAAACTTATTAAACAATTTCTTTGAACCCGATCTCACAGTTAAAAATTTTTGCCTTTTGCTCCTGCCGTTCACATCCATGCAGACAACTTTTGTATATAAAACTAATATCTTGACATATGTCTCCGTTCCTTACATATTTCGTTTAATTTATTGCTATGTGAATTTGTTCAATTAACTCAATCACACAGAATGACGATTGCAACGGGGACTACAACTAGAGTGATTGGGTGGTATCACTCACATCCTCATATTACTGTCCTACCATCTCATGTTGGTGAGTTTTTTGGTGTGTCCATGTCCATGGGGCAATTATTCGTACATTTATAATTATTTTTCTCTGATTACGTTATGCTTTATATTATGTTATTCAAAAAAGCAAGAAGTGTTCAACATTATTTTTCTTCCTTTTGCAATTCATTTCTTTTTTATATTACTATAGTGATTTAGAAGTGTTCAACATTAAATGTCCATTGCATATGGAGCTGGAAGAGTCATTGTTGACAATTCTCCTGGCATAGTGCAAATAATGGACTAGATCAAAATGGCTCAATTAAATTTTAGTGCTTCTTCTATTAGTGAAGTTTCTAGAAAAAAAATATATCAAACGACGCAAAGCACCTTGGGTCGTTATGGAAACAGCCTCCTTGTATAATTATAAGGGTAAGGTCTGCGTACAACTGAACCCCCAGACCCCAACCTGTTGGGAATATACTGGGTATGTTGATGATTGATGTTGATTACTATAGTGATTTAGTATGGTAGTTTTTCTTTGTTTGATGCAAGGTTATTTACTTGTCTAAAGTGAGAGCCTTTCATGGTATCATCTCTTAATCATAATGGTTCCATTGTTTGGAGAAACATTTGATCGTTATTATAGATGATGTTTGTTATTCCTGTCAGAATATTTAGTATTGGTTATTGAACTCTGATGCTCCTCTTGTTGGATCCTTCTAGATGTTCGGACTCAGGCAATGTACCAGCTATTGGATTCTGGTTTTATTGGATTGATATTTTCGTGTTTTAGTGAAGATTCACAAAAGGTTAGTACTGATTAGAAAGGTTGTCTCTGAGAGACAATATTCATTATTTTTCTTTTTAAATATAATTCTTAAGTTGGTTTCTATCTGTCATAGGTTGGAAGGATTCAAGTCATTGCATTTCAATCTTTAGAGGGGAAGCAGACGATGAGACCTGTTTCTGTTTCAGCTGTACAAAAAAGTCCTATTATAGAACTTGAATCGTCTGTAAGTTCCTCCGACAATAACATGGGTATGTTTGGCTTTTCAAAAGGAGAAAACATGGAACAAGACACTGGAGATTCAGGTTATAAGGTAGGTTCCATCAAGGCAAGATTTTAGATTGCCTTGCGTTTCTACAGGTTTTATATATGATTGGGTTTTGTCCTTATCTTTTTCCCTGGTTCATTTCCAGTTTAATATTTTCTTTGTAGTTTTCGAGCCTGTGTTGGTTTTTATGTGATAAATATTAAATGTGTTTTATGCTTAGAAACTCTATTATTTAAAAAAAAATATAATAATCTGTATACATAAGCGGTTGGCCGCATTGGTACTAAAAAATGTAAGATAATGATAAGTTAATGACAAGAGAAGCATGTACCCAACTATTGTGATTATAATTCTTTTTTCTGTTTGTTTCTTTTGCCTTTTGAATTAGATGCACCGACTGAGCATTGGTTTTTGAAACTTTTAACCTTATATTTCAGAAGTCTATGAAACTTAATTAAAGAAACATGCATTATTATTTATTTTTCTTTGAACAATATAAACACAATTAAACCAAGTCTGTTTACTTGACTGCTGAAATATACTCACCGTCCTTGTTTGGCTAGGTCGCTGGAAAATCACCACGCTTGGGAGGCTTTTTGGTGAATGCAAATAGCATTAATTCTAAAACTGGAAATAATTACAAGGACAACAGTTTAGGTCATGCGATTCAGGATTTGGACCCAATGGATATGTCAGATGGTATGCAAGAGGCGATGCATCTTTCAAACTTGGAAGTGAGGTAATGTGAGTATGTGCTCTTAAAATCACTACATGATTCTCTTGTATGGAGAATTAGACAGTTAAAAGAAGAAACACAAATAGGAAAAGAAACACAAATATAAGGGACCCCCCCTAATGGAACGTAGTCGTTTTTTGGGGAAAGAGTATGCACATTTTATTTTATGGGTAATGACTTGGGCCGAGTTTTAATCTAGATGAAGTTAAGAGATGATTGGTAATGGAACTGATTAGCAATGGTATTTGTGTAATTTGTTTATTTAACTTCATCTTTAAGTCTATACTGGTCCGATCTCGTTACTATTATATTCTCATTCCTTTTGCTTACCTTGAAATTTTATTCTCATTGCATATGCTTTTATTCAGTGACAGTATGTTCACAGTTCAATTGTACATGCATTTCTAGTCGTGAAACTTTAAAGTGTCTCTATTTTATATTTGTTGATGCCAGTGGCGCCCAATTTGTCCGTAAGGAAATTCCACTTTATGTTGTGCCTACATCAGCCCTTCTCAAATTAGATTCTCCTCTCTCATCCTTTACAAGCCTTCAGCGTATGCTCTTTGAAGAGGAAAAGAATGCATATGACGAAGCAATGGCGCTAAACACAAGGTGACATTATGATGGGAAAAATGTTAATTTATCAAAAGTTTTCTCGAGATTTTCTGTTTTGGGACTGTAATGATGATTTTTGACGGGTCTTCAGAGACGGAAAAGTTCATCCTCTTTCTTTCATTCATCATGCATCCACCTACAAGGCTTCCATGTGCAAGATGATCGAATTTTGGTAAATAATAAAATAGTTATCTCAACTTTTTAGCTGTATCAAAATATTGCATCTAGGTCACAATTGGCATCTTGTGGTTGCAGCTTGAATCCTGCCATGGGTGCTCTTCAAGATCGCCTGAGAGAAAATGAAGTTAAGGTAGCCTTTTGTCTGTCTTTACGTCCTTGTGTGTGTCCTTGTAGTGGCACCTTTATTACAAAAGGCCTTATTATTTGTCAAAATGACATATATCCATTGGTTTTTATTGATCTCTTGCAAATTTCATCTTCGGGAATAAATACAGATCTCTAGGCGCGAGTCGCACTTCAATGAGGTTTAGTTAATTTTGAAAAGGCAATAGAGATTTTTTTTATTACCCTTTTTTGTTAGTATGGCAAAATTTTTGGGGATAATTCTGCAATAACACAAATGTATTTTCCAATCTACTGATTTCTTACATTTTCTTTCCATTCTATAACTTACAGTTATGATATATCTTGCGATTACCCGTTTCACTTAATATATACATATTTTTTTTCCTATTACTTGAAACAGTTAAAACTGCTTGCCCAAGAAGCCAATGGTTTGGAATTGGAGCTATTAAGTGGTGGTCCCTCGAATTCCTCTCCACGTTCTCCATCTCAAGGGTTTAGAAGTATCTCGAGTGGCAGCCGAGCAAAACGATGATAGTACTTTTATGTACCAATAACGCCCTTTGAGAAGCTTTTTTATCTCCTGTTGTAGAATCTTGGAGATGATATTGTTATGCTCTTTATTTTTGCTCTCCCTTTTTTTTTTCTGTTTGTATACTTTTGTCATCCTCATTTGTAGTATTATTTGGTCGTGGCATTAAAGAGTTAAAGGAGTTGACCATTGGAATGAAGTTATTTATCTTTACAATTGTGATAATTTTTTTGAGTTGAATTTTGTGGCAGGACTTATTTGGGATATGCGTGGTTTTTTTTTTTTAGAAACGTTGGATTTAATAACTAAGAACACATAATTATAACTAACTCACTAGTCAGAATAGGAGGACTACACAAGACAGATTAGATACTACAATGCAAACTTTTGGGGAGAAACTCACTTGACGTGTTTTTTTGTACACATGGACATGAACGTGTACATTTGAAAATCCCACTAATTCTAAATTATGAGATGAAAATCCCACTAATTCTAAATTATGAGAGAGATAGTTGTTCAATCCGGCCTAATTGTGGGCTTGGACTAAGTAACAGTAAAGGCCCATTATCCTTTTTCACAAAAGAAAAATAAAAAATAAAATAAAAAAATTGCTTTTATAACCTACCTGCAGGTTCAGTGTGCAGTGATAAGAAAAAAAAGGCCAGAAACAAGTTCAAACCACTTTTCTCTTTCCATTATCGCATCTGCATTATGTAGTCCCAGTAAATTGTCGATTGTCGGTGATTCCACCGTTGGACCGTCACCAAATTTTAATAGATGGTTCGTGACTTCTTACTCTTCGTTTTGAAAGGTGGAGATCGGATTTAGAGCACGTTTGGGTTGTTTGGTTGCTATTAGCTTGTGGTTATTATTGTTGTTAATTGGATTTGGTGTTTATTATTATGTTAAAGGCATCGTAGTATTTGGTGGTTTTAACACCAATAGAGTGATATCAGAGCAAGGTTTCGGTGCACCTTGTCTAAATCATGGAGATTAACACAAGCCGGATGGTTACTTTGAATGGGTCCAATTACCATGTGTGGAAAGGCAAGATAGAAGATCTCATGTATGTGAAGGATTATTATTTGCCCGTGTTTGTCAATGAGAAGCCGTCAGATAAAACCGATAATGAATGAGAGATATGTCACTGTCAGGTGTGTGACTACGTTAGGCAATGTGTAGATGATAATGTTATCAACCACGTTAGTGAAGAAAAGCACGCACGAACCTGTGGAATAAACTCGAAGAGTTGTATGTGTGGAAAACCAGCAACAACAAGTTGTTTTTTATCAAGCAAATGATGGCTTTGAAGTACCAAGACGGAAAGACTATGTCAGACCACTTGAACACATTCCAAGGAATCATTAATCAGCTGGCTGGAATGAATATCAAGTTTGACGATGAATTACAAGAGTTGTGGCTTCTTGGTACTTTACCGGACTCGTGGGAGACGTTCAGAACGTCTTTGTCTAACTCAGCACCGAATGGAATTTGCTTCATGGATATGGTGAAGATTCGTGTCCTGAAGAAGAAATGAGAAGAAAATCACAGGGTTCTCCACAGACATATGTCTTATTCGCTGAAAGGCGGAGGTGAAGTAAAATCAAGGGTCCGAATGATAAAAATCGAAGTAAAAGAAAGTCCGAAAGGTATGCCAAGCTCGAGTATCACCATTGTGGCAAAAAGGGACACATCAAAAGGTACTGCAAAAAATTCCTCAGAGAGAATCCAAATATCAAAGGAAAAGAAAAGAAGGCTAGATATGGTGAATACGGTGAGAAGGTAGCAGCGTCTACCAATGATTTTATTTTCATTTATGAAGGCGATATTGTCAGTCTCGCTTGCCAGGAGACTAGTTGTGTGATCGATAGTGGTGTCTCGATTCATGTCACATCGCGAAGGGATTTCTTTAGGTCCTACACTTTCGATCACTTC